GACAAGTGCATCAATTCGATCAACATAAGGGCTCCAACCACCAGAGGCTACCAGACACAATCACTACTACACACTTCACTTTGCTGCAGACTGTGCCGATTGTGCTTGCACCTGGCTCCGGTAATGTCAAGTGGTATTGTCCCCGTTCATCTCTGCATATGGCTGTTCACCGATCACAACTATTGCGTAGGAGAAGTTGTTGGATTTCACAAAATCTGCATTCGGGTTCTCGCTGAACATGATCTCTGTGCTTGGTTCCACAGCTGCTGCAATTCCATTCAGGATAGTGGTTCCTGTTCATGGTCAAGAAATTAGCAATCTTACACTCGTATATTCATGTTGTGTATATATATGTTGATTAGCACCCATGATTCATATTTTTATGGGTTTTGTTTTTTGAAAAGTTGTAGGTGAATGTGAATTGAGTAATATAGCATATACCGGCAGTGAAGTTGTTGCCATTAAGACCTTGCCAGGTGATGGTCCATCCTCCACACTGATTGCCTAAATTGTTGGCGTGAGTTCCTGCAACAAGGATTCTTGAAGCATTCTTTGGCAATGGCAGTACAGGTTCATCTGCATTGTTTCCATTCTTGAGAAGAACAAGAGACTTCCTAACTGCTTCTCTTGCCAAATCTCTATGAGCCTATAAATTGATGTTGGTCAATTAGAAAATTTTGACAAAGAAACCAGTATAGCAGAAATTTAAATTGATACTAATTTTACCTGGCTTCCGATCTGATCGACATAAGTTTCATCAGCCAATGGTTTCTCAAATAAACCCATTGTGAATTTGACCCTCAAAATTCTACTGACAGCATCATCAATGCGGCTCATTGGAATTACTTTATCGTCAACAAGCTTTGTTACGGTATCAATGAACTCAGTATAATTGAAAGGAACCATGACCTGCAGAAAATAATCAACTTAATTAAGAAGGGATAAACTGAATATAAATAACTTCTTCCAAACACTTGATATTACTAACCATATCAATTCCAGCATGAAGGCCTTGCATGACTGAGTATGAGTAGTTTGCATGGTCAGGATAGGTGATTCGGTCAATACCCTGCCAATCTGAGATGACAAAACCCTGCATTTGAAGGAGGTTTATGGTTAAATTAGGAAAATAAATAAATCAAATTCTAAACACAGGAAGTTACCAAACTGAAAATTACCCTGAATTTAAGTGTGTTTTTGAGTAAATTGGTGACAAGATCATGGTTGGCATGCATCTTCTTGCCATTCCAGCTGGAGTAAGAAACCATGACAGTCGAAACTCCCTTGATGATCGAGTCGTAGTAGGCCGGCATGTGGATGCTCATGAGACCTTGCCAGTCTACCACAGTGTTGTTCTCATCAATGCCTCTGGTGGTGCCACCATCACCCACAAAGTGCTTTGCACAGGCAACAACCTTGTCCCTGTAAATTAATCATGTATATCAGCAAATCGAAAAGTTACAGAAGAACCCTACAACAAACAGTATGTCAAATATTTAGCACCCAGAAGAAGGAAAAGTGAACTTACTGTCCTCCAACATAAGGAACACCTTTGCGAGAATCTGCGGGAATATCCCCTTGTAATCCAGGTATAATCTCTGTCATGGCCTTCACAACTTTGGGATCTTCACTGTAACTCTCATAGCATCTTCCCCACCTTGGATCTCTGCATACAGCAATGCAAGGTGCAAAAGCATAGTTAATGCCAGTTCCTCTAACTTCTCGAGCAGTGGCAGCACCAATCCTCTTCACAAGCTCAGGATCCCTGTAACAAAACCACAAGAGTTGATAAATGGGTTGTATTCAGAATTGAATTCTTGTGATTTATGTAGAGCTGACTGACCTGGTTGCCCCAAGACCAATATTGTGAGGAAAGAGAGTAGCCTTGTAGACATTGTTGTTGCCATGAACAGCATCAATGCCATAGATCATGGGGATCCCTAACCGGCTGGAAAGAGAACCATTCTGGAAAGAGTTAACCATGTTTATCCATTCCTGAGGAGTGGCCTGAGGGCGTGGGACACTGCCTCCACCACTAAGAAGGCTACCAATGGAGTAGTTCTTCATGATTTCAGGAGTTGCAACACTGCGGTCAATTTGCACCATCTGGCCTATCTTCTCTGCTAGTGTCATCCTGCTCATAAGGTCTCGGATTCGCCTGTTCACAGGCTGATTTGGGTCCTTGTACGACATATGGTCTTCGTATGGCCTTGCCTCAGCCATTGCAGAGCCAATTAGCAACAAAAGACCCAGCAAAAACATTGACATCCTCATCCTGTTTGCTTTTCCTTGGTGAATACACCTGAAAACAACATCACATTATATATAATTCTACTTATACATATGGCTTTGATCAAATACAGCTGTATAAGGGAAAAAACTGTAAGCACCCAACAACATCAATGTCTTTTTCTTCTTCCTTTAAGAATTTGACTGAATATGAAACAAAGGTTCCTTCAATAATCCACAGTTAATCAGAAGAATAATAAAAACTAATATGATATACAATGCAAAACTAATATGAAACAAAGGTTCCTTTACTAATCCACAGTAAATTAGAACAATAGTAAAAACTAATATGATATACAACGCAAAAACTAATATGAAACAAAAATTCCTTTACTAATCCACAGTGAATCAGAACAATAATAAAAATTAATATGATATACAATGCAAAAACTAATATGAAACAGAAGTTCCTTCACTAATCCGCAGTAAACTGATATGAAACAGAGGTTTCTTCACTAATCCACAGTAAATCAGAACAACAACAAAAACTACTACGATATACAATGCAAAAGCCAATATGAACAATAATAAAAATTAATATGATATACAATGCAAAAACTAATATGAAAAAAATAAATAAAATCATTTACTAATCCACAGTAAATCAGAACTAGACTAAAACCTAATAATATGACATAATGCAAAAACATGCCAAATAGCAAGGCTAATATGAAGCCTACCTAGACAAGAAGAAAGGGCGAATTCTGAAGAGTGAAAATTAATTGTGTGATTGTTGGGGAGAAGAAGCGAAGTATTTATTGTTAATTCCAGCCAATTAAAAGATAGAGATAATAGAGGAGGAAACATACAAGAAGATAAGCTTCGGATTCCCGGAGAATTTTCAGTGCGGGGATAAAGATAACACCGCGAGATTTCAGCGCGGATATGAGATGAGACTCCATGATTTTTTGAAAAATTTTTCCGAGCGAAGAATCCGATTCAGAAGTCTGCTGTCGCCTATAAAAGGATAAAAGAGTAGAGAGAACAGACTGTACGGTCTTAGTAGCTACAATCTCACCGCCGGCATACATCCATACATAAATCTATACATCTATATATATATATATGCATATAATTTCTTACAATTCTCCCAAACAAACGTGTAACGAAGAAGAAGGAAAGAGACGAGAGAAGAAGAAGACCGCGCTGTTGCTTTCCCTTTCTGTTTCAATTATTTGTTACGTAGCCAATTATATTTCCTTTTTATTATTATATTTTTTATTTATATGAAAATATATTTTTATGACTAATATTATAAAAATTAATATTTAATTTTAAATAAAAATTAATAAAATTTCTCTAAAATGTTTATCCCCATTAAAATATTTTAAAAAAATTCTAAAAAAAAAAAAAGAAAATTCATATTTTAAAAAAACTAATATAAAAAACATAAGACAAAAAAAATTTTAAAAAATTATTATTTTACATAAAATAATAATTAAAAATATTACCATAGAATAAGAATATTATATTAATAAATATATGTAACAATTAGAACCCCGATATATCCAAAACGGGAAACTAATTAGAACCCTGATTGTATCCAAAACAGGAAACTAAATTAACCCACAGTGACATTACTAACAGCTTTTGTAGTGAGTCCAAACCCAAACGGGAAAAGAGGATCATAGCGATCGTCTCCGACGTTCATCGGCAGCTGATCAACCGTTTTAAACCAAGTACGAGGTAACTTCCCGGCGAATCCATAATCTCCGAACAGAACGTCGGCCACTCCGGCTCCTTCCGTTCCCGGCAACCAAGCGGCGACAAGGGCATCGATCTGGTCCAGATAAGGTTGCACCACCAGCGGCCGACCAGACACGATTAGAACGACGCACTTCACTTGGCCGCAGACGGTGCTGATGGTCCGACCACCTGGTTCGGGTATGGTCAGGTTGGTGTTGTCTCCGTCGAGTTCGGCGTAGGGGAACTCGCCGACGACGACAATGGCGTAGGAGAAGTTGTTTGATGAGACAAAAGCTTTGTCCGGGTTTTGACTGAAGACAATCTCCGTGGTTGGATCCACGGCTGCTGAGATTCCACTCAGAATCGTTGTTCCTGTTCGTGAATTTTACGTATGGGAGATTTGTAAGAAATGGTGTGCATTATATGTATGTATGTATAGATCTATGTATAGGTGTATACCGGCGGTGAGATTGTTGCCGCTAAGACCTTGCCAAGCAATGGACCATCCACCGCATTGATAACCTAAATTGTTGGCATGAGTTCCTGCAACAAGGATTCTTGAAGCATTCTTCGGCAGTGGAAGTACAGGCTCATCTGCATTTTCTCCATTCTTGAGAAGAACAAGAGATCTCCTAACTGCTTCTCTTGCCAAATCTCTATGAGCCTACAGCAAACTAGATTATTACTTACACACACTTTCAGAGTACTGTTATCACATGGTGAAAAAAAATATATATATATATATATAATTTTATATATAAAAAGAAAGTTCGAGAGTCGCTACTGATCTTTAACCTGACTTCCGACATGATCAACATAAGTTTCGTCTGCAAATGGTTTCTCGAATAAACCCATTACGAATTTCACTCTTAAGATTCTTCTAACAGCATCATCAATTCGGCTCATCGGAACGAGATTATCTTCCACATGTTTTACCAAAACACTAATGAACTCGGTGTAATTGTAAGGAAGCATGACCTGTAGAAGACAGTGGATTAATCTTTCTTTAAATCTGATATTTGATATATAGTTCATCACATATAGTGTATATATTGACCAT